TGACATCAGGTATTTCGTTCATAACTCCAACCACAGTAATAAAGGACTAGGAAATTGCAATGCTTTGTGCATTACAGAATCGATTTTCTATTCATAAATCATACTGCACACGTCAATTAACCAATTAAATAAGTAACAAATCATAACATGTTATTAATAAACATAACACCTAACATAGCATTTAATTAACAATAAAATCACACATTAATATATTATTATCATTAATTGTCACTTTGTGTTTTTATGCTATAATGATTTAAAAGGTCTCTGGTCGCAATATCTGATTAATGCATATAGTCGTGCATTGGCTTCCTTAATGATGAAATAAATAAGCGCAAATGAGTTGCAGTGGTAATAAAATTGATTTGCCTATTTTATGCAGGCTGGTTTTATGTTATTTTTATGTTGGTTCACGCCGCTCTACACTACATAAAGATAATACGATAGAGAAACTGAGATTACAGGTATTACATTTGATTGATGTTGCAGGTAGAATGTAATGAAATTAAATGGCTTGTTCAGCTTTATTTATTATATTAACCATGTTCATCCAATTTTTTGGTCTTGGTATTATTGAGAATTGTCGATTTTTTTTACACATCATTCATCATTTATTACAATTTTTTTTAAAACACCTTTATTGCACTTATAAATACACACACACACACATGTATTTGGTGTAATTCAGTTTTTAACCGGTTCAATTTGTCGAAATAAGTACGATCTTAATATGGTAACATCTAATAATATGATGCTTTATGTCTCAGAAATAACATACGATTTTACTTGTCTTAGAAAGTATGATTTTACTTGCACTCGAAAGTATGAAGGTATGAGAAAAGTACGACTTTTCTTGTTCACGAAGTATATATCCTTTTACTTGTGCATGAAAATATGATGCTATATATAATCTAAGAAATTATGACTTTATTTTTCTCAAACAATGGGATGGTCCAAGAAAGTATGATTATATTTGGCACAGAAAGTATGATTTTACTTACACACGAAAAGTATAAAGGTATGAGAAAAGTACGATTTTACTTGTACACGAAGTATATAAGCTTTTATGATTTTACCTGTGTCCGAAAGTATGATGCTATTTATAATCTAAGAAATTATGACTTTATTTTTCTGAAACAATGGGATAGTCCCAGATAGTATGATTATATTTGGCTCAGAAAGTATGATTTTACTTACACACGAAAAGTATTTAAAGGTATGAGAAAAGTACGATTTTACTTGTACACGAAGTATATAAGCTTTTATGATTTTACCTGTGTCCGAAAATATGATGCTATTCATAATCTAAGAAATTATGACTTTATTTTTCTCAAACAATGGGATGGTCTACGTCTCAGAAAGTATGATTTTACTTGGCTCAGAAAGTATGGTTATGTGTCTTTAAGTATATACTTGTCTTGTTTAGTACAATGTATATCATAAAATATCAAAGAATTTGTCCCGTCTCAGATATTTTTTTCTCTGGAGATTGAAAATCATGTGTAGGACCTAGTAGGAATAGTATTATATTGCTAGCTGTCTTTATAAATAATCAGATCAACTCATATCGTATTGTCATCCCTTATTCACACTGTCAACTTGACAACAGTTATGGCCTTAACCCCACACCTTAACATCGTGTTCTGTCCACGGTATCAATTACTATGACTAGAGTATATTCTTTTTCAATAATAACAAAATTATCATTTATCATAATATATCAACTCATTCGAAAATAACCCTTAAATTTGAGACTTTAAGACCATAAAGCGCCAATTTAATCCATTCAGCTTAGTATAGACATATTCGGGGTTGACCCTCTTTGTGTGTCCATCAAGTTTACCACAATGAATAAGGTTTGTCAACTGACCACGCCATAATTTATGATTTATGATAATTAATGGGTTTTTAGGTGAAGAAATCTGTCACGCGCGATTTTTTGTGTATTTTGTGAATATGTTGGAGCAACACGTTTGGACAGTTATTAACATAATATTATAGAAGACAGCTGTTTCCAAACAATTTTTAAATTGCTGTTTAAATGACCTCCACTGATGTTGCTCGTGTCGCAACGACAAAGAATATTTCAAAATAACTGGCCACGACAGAATATACTTTGCCACAAACATATTTCAAGGTAAATCTCCACCACAAAGATGATATAAAATAATTCGTAAAATGTAAAAATATGTTGTCATCATTTAAATTTATTAAAAAAGAAATAATTACAATTTATATTGAAGTATATAAAACAAATAGTGACAACAAAAATATCAAATAAGTCGTTACAACAAAAATATCAAAATTATTCATCACAACAAAAGTAACAAACATATCAACTAAGTCGTAACATAAAAAATATATAGGAAGTCGTCACAACAAAAGTATCAAATAAGTCGTCACAACAAAATAATATCAAATAAATAAAATAATTCGGCTCACCAAGTAAGTTGTCAAATAATTCGTCACAACAAAAGTATCAAATAAGTCGTCACATCAAAAATATATAATAAGTCGTCACAACAAAAGTATCAAATAAGTCGTCACAACAAAGGTATCAAATAGGTCGTCACAACAAAAGTATCAAATAAGTCGTACAACAAAAGTATCAAATAAGTCGTCACAACAAAGGTATCAAATAAGTCGTCACAACAAAGATATCAAATAAGTCGTCACAACAAATATTAAATAAGTCGTCACAACAAAAATATCAAAAATATTAAATAAATAAAACATTCCGTCACATCAAATAAGTTGTCAAATAATTCGTCACATAAAAGATATTAAACTAATCGTCACGATAAAAATATATAATAAGTCGTCACAATAAAAGTATCAAAAAAGTCGTCACTACAATAATATCAAATAATTCGTCACAACATAAGTATCAAATACTTTGTCACAACAAAAATCATACAAATATCAAATAAGTCGTCACAGCAAAATATATCAAACCAGTCGTCACAACAAAAAATATCAAACAAGTCGTCACAACAAAAATAACAAATAATGGGTCACAACAAAAATAACAAATAATGGGTCACAACAAAAGAAAAAAAAAATCACGACTAAAGATATTCAGAAAATAAATGTACACATAATAAAAAGTATCAAGAAATCAGTAGTCACAACTAAAATGAGACCCCAATCACCGTCGCGGTTGTTATAAACGAAAGGTGGCATATTAGCCCATTCTGGTAATTGTTACTGAAGAGTGTTACATACAATGCAAATCATTGCAAAAAAGGCTATAACATTAATGTTCATAATATGTTAAAAAAAAATATGAGAATGTGCCCCTTTAATCCAAGGGTCAATATGAATAATTCATATTTTAATATAAAAACGATCGCGTGTAGAAACAAAATAGCAAACAAATGAAAATGACAGACAAAAATGAAGGCCCGAGGCAAGGCGGTGTGCTGTAATGATTAGTTTTCTCTGAGTAAACGTATGACTGTTTTAAAAAACTTATTGTTAAATCTGGAGAGAGCGCCCTTATCGGTTTAGATTTCTGAGTAAACGTATGACTGTTTCAAATATAGTTATTGTTAAATTCTGAAGAAAGCGTTCTTTATCTGTTTAAATATTTTGATAGATAATCAAATAAGCCTTAGATTATTGTTAGGAAAGGTCAAAGCAGACACAAGGCGTACTACCACTATAGAAAAACTGTTTCTTTATTCCGCAAAAACCATCAATATTAAAGTTTAATTAAAATGACTCCGGGCAATGACAAAATTCCTGATAATAGTGTAGTTTTTATTGAGGTTAATTGTTTCCTAAATCCCAGACGAGTTGGTCATTGAAAAACAATCAACTCCGACAAGATACCTAAATTAACTTTAAAGGGGCTCATTGCAGTAATTCAAATTAACCTTAAAGGGCTCATTGTTGTAATTCAAATCATATACATAAATATACTTTACTTTGTCATAAAAGAAGGGTGTTATACCATACTATATTCCCTTGTGTTTTTTGTTACATAAATACATAATCGGAAAATTTACAAAAACCTGGAGGGGGGGTGGGGAGGGGGGGGGGGGGGGTCCTTATTTATATAATATATATTGACATTGTAATATATATACCAACATCTTCATATCATTATAGTCTTAAAGAAATACCCCATTTCATTTACAACATGTTGAATTACTAAAAATAAATACCCATTTTTTAAATGTCATGCAGTTGTTGGTAGTTCTACTTTCAATTTGTGGCATTAATGTGGGTAAACGTTATCATCCTGGCCGCGGCAGTAGAGAGTGGGCCTATCCAAAGCACATATATATTTTCGTCGCAAAAATGACACCTCGGATGCATTTCTTTTTTCACGTGTTATGAGGCATCTCAAAATAAAAAGAAAAGTTCACAAGATGACCACACACAAAGACACTTCTAAGAAATTCTTTTAACCTGGTATTTTCTCAACAATGTTGTGAGTTGGTTTTGACCAAATGTAAGTTGTATAGATCAGGTGGTCAAGCTGGTCACTATTTAGCAGAATTCTCGTGGAATAGTTTAACTTGACCACACCTGGTCAGTGTATTGAATAGACCAATATCCTGTTCCAAATTCCATGCTCGCTTGGTTAGTCTACTAGATCGAAAATTTGATTTTAAAAGTAATTTTTAGAAAGTTCAGGCAAAAAGTCCGATTAACATGAGCTATATATTTCCTAGGAAATACCTAAACTAAAAATGCATACAGGGCATCAATAATAACATGTAGACTATACTATACACTGTATAGCCTTTTAACATTTGACTCTAAAAGGCTACATTAAAATCGTTGAGTTTCAAATACTGGAATTAAAAGATATTCTTAAGTCAGATGCCTTGCTCGTTAAGAGAAAGTATGACATGTGACTGAGACACGTGGTTTTGTTATTGTTTACAATATTTCTGGTTCGGGCTTATTATCAACTTGCCTATTGATTGGTCAAAAATAGCTTTCTACTTCCACTTCCGATTTTTTCCAAAATGGCTGTCTTCAGTAAAATGAAAACTTTGGATTATACTTGTTATGAATTAGGGCATACATGGGACCCTTATTGCACAACTGCAGCTCTCAATGTCGGCAAGACTGTTTTTCGCGAAGCTTTGAAAATGTATGGCTCTCTATATTTGGTAAGTGTCGCTGCCATCTTCAAAGAAAGTTCAATTTTTTGCAATTTCATGGTGTAAAACTGTAAACAAACTTTTGTTATTGTCCATTACGATGTCAATGAATAGGACACCGTCACCAGCCAGGTTATTTCAGTAGGTTAAATTATTATTTTGGACAGTGCATATTTGCAAGTAGTAAGAATTGGTCACTGTCAATTGCTCGCTAAGTTTAAAGGGACAGTTACGCCATTCTCATTGACCAATCATACTTGAGTCTCAGAAACGTGAATTTTTTTTACCTAAACCAATCAGTAATAGTGTTCACAGCTCACCGTTGATATTTGAGCCTTCAAATCCATGTGTGTCCAGAATTATCTACAAAGTCTTCGACTTAAAATAAATAAATGGCAATAAATATAGTTATCATATATAAAGCTCTGAAACATCCAGTCAGTATGTATGCTCTGTCGCTCTTTCAATAGTTCTTATTGAGACCAGACGACTCTCAGAAGCATTGCTCTAAAGATAGAATTTTGAGGCTAAAAAGTATAAAAATTGTATTTTTAAAACGATTAGAAAGGAAGTGGTGGTACAATTTGAGGAACAAACCAGTTTTCTAGGGGAGACCCCCACATGCATATTTGATTTGTCACATACATTGGCTCTCCTCATGTTAACACCAAAATTTGAGAACACCTACTCTGGTCTTTTCTGTTCCTTGATAATGTAAAGCCAGTAATTTATGATTCTTTACTTTTTGAAGAAAATCTTTCATTTTGCAGGTTGCTGCCCTGGTTAAAAAGAGAGGGAAAGATTATTATTTAAAGAAATTTCTACCAGAGACACTGAGATCTAGTTTATTTCTGGCTGCCAATGGTGGTTTATTTGTAGCTTCCTTTTGTTTCTGGAGGTGGGTACATTTTTGAAGAATTTCAAATTTTCAAAATTATTACTTTTGGTTTATCTATGTAGATTTCGCCTTGTTACCATATCGATGAATTCGAATGAGCAATGGATTAGATTTAAGGACCCAAATTTTTTTTTTTTTTGAAGAGGATGGGGGTGGGGCGATAAAAGTAATATAACCCTCAAATACCAATGATTTGCTTCAAAATGTTTTAAACTTTGGAATGTAAAGATTTCTTGAAATAAGTCTTATAATATCAAATTACCCGTAGTTATCAGCATTTTGATTTTAATAACATAAAAATATATTAAAAATTTCAGAAACCTGACGTATGTTTGAATGGTATTTTTTCTGTGATTAAAATTAATTATAAAACTTCCTAAGGGCAAAAAGAAACTTTTTAAAGGACAATCATATCCATTTAAAGGCAATTGAACTATCATATTAAAATTTAACCTGGTTCTACTGTGTTCCTCGGATGTGATATAAGCACGATTAGGGCCAGACACCTGCTCCTGCACAATTCTGGATCGCTAGTTTTTGAGAATTTTTACCAAAGCCAAATTTTGCATAAACTGTTGTCTCTATGTTTATACGAAACTGAACCTTTAATAAGTCCATCAAGACATTTCCAGATATTCCGAGAAACTTCCCTAAAAAAATGTCATTTTATGTCTGGCCCTAAATGTGCCGTTATCCCATCTGTATATCATGTCTGTTAGGATCAGATTTGTCAAGCTCGTTTAAAATACATTAATCAGATTTTCAGTCATTTTAGTACAATCAGTTTTATATTGATGCAATAAATTACCTAAACAAATTTTCTTCTTTTTACTTTCCAAGTATAAGCCATAAACTAAATTCCTATATTTCAATGTGCTATTCAAAATAACATATCTTGCCAATGATTTATAAAGCTTATAGGCTGATAAATGAACATGTTGCAATGATAAAATAATATAACAAAACATTACCTGACTGAAAAACAAGATATATTGATTAGCTTTTAAAGAAGTATTCTTTCTAAACTAGGCATTTCTAAAGAAAATATTGAAATATAAGATGAAATCAATAGAATTGTACCTAATGCTTGAAGTATTGATCAAGGTATCAATAAAATAAATAACATATATCTGAATTTATGAATTAGACACATTGTAATGTTCTATAGATTTTGGTGGCATGTTGTTAGTCATATCATAGACATAATGTTTTCTACTTCCTTTTCTGGATAGTGTGATATTGATGCTGTTAAGGGATAAATCTGTCTAAATATTGACTGATATAGCTCAATTCTAGCTATAGTCGAGATACTGTTCAAAACAGAAACACGATCAGTCTATTATTGTTTTGGATAGATTAAACAGTAAATCCATAGTTAACATATCTAATGATTTTAACTTGCAGCTTGTTTTATCATAAATCTTTACTTGACGTGACCTTGGCCAATGCTTTTATGAGACTATGTTCTCATCACCATCTAACACTGAACTGAAAGGAATTGTAAAGAGGTTATGTGTAGCAAGACACTTATAGCATCAATTTGCACAATTCCAATTTCACTAAACTTTAGTGTTTGATGACATCAAAAATTTAGTTTTAGTGGAATTGCAGGATCCACTGATATCTGATTGAAAATTAAAATCAGATCCCCGCTACACGTAAATTTTTTTATTTAATCCTTATTTAATAAAAACTGATTATATTAATAATATGTACTACCCTAACTGGACTGATTGTGTTTTAGTCTTGAACTGTCCCGGATTAGCAGAAATATTGAATATCTGTAACACTTTTCAAAATAAAAATCTGCCAGTTACATTGTCACTTCAAGGGCTTAAAAATGTTTTCGCAAGCATTTTCTTGAACACTTGCTTTAAGATTAAAGACAATACTATTCATTTCAGAAAATTAGCAGGGTTTTATTTTTATCATAATGCCCTGCTTTGTGGAATACCTGTATGTCTTTTATCTATAATAATAGAAAATAAGAACAGGTATCAGTATATATCACAGTATAAAAACTGTATGTTATGGATTGAATCTTGAAAAATATGGTCCTTTTTTGGCTATTTTCAACACATTTTTAGGTGATAGTTTTGGGATGGTTTTAATATTTGTCATAATTCTTTTGAAAATATGTTAAAAAATTACTTAATAGGAAATTTATGATATTTTGTTTTAATGGAATACCACACATTTTTATACGCCCACATTTAAGTTTTGAAAGCAGTATATGACTAAAGGTTGAATATTGGAAATGGATGCTGTTCTGCCACTTGTTATTTGAGAATAAAAAACCTTCCAGTGGGTGTATATATTGACTTGCCTTTGTATCTAGGAAATCAAAATCTTTTAAATAAAGTCTACAAAAACCATAATTTTACTTTTGTTTCATGTTAGTTATTTTAGTTAAATTTGCATATTTTCAATTAAGATTCAATTCAGAACATGCTGTTTTCAAAATGTACATGTATGTATTTTTGAATGTTGTATTTTATCTAATGTGTGTGGTAGCAGCTCTATGACTAACATGCATCAATAAGCACATATCCAATTAAAATTTCATCAGAGAAAATATTAGTACATATTCTAGGAGGATTTGAAACATAAATGCATATAGAGAGTCTACTTTTATAAGTAAATATTTTACTAAAAGTATAATTTATTAATGAGCACAAATACTTGTGCATATTTGAGCAAATCAAAACATAATCAAGAACAGTCTATTGTGCTTTAAGGTAGAATAAATAGTAATTACTGTGTATATTTAAAACTATACGAGCCAGGATTATTCCTTGTATTAATACTTACACTACCTATGAATAAAGTGAACTTTTCCAATTTATGATTTGAATCTGGATATGCACAAATACATGTGCTTCACAATGCTTTTGCCTCAAAGTCAAGACTCCAGTTTCATATTTTAAAACTTTTCAATGTGTACTAATATCTTTGTTGGACTAGAATCATCAATGTATCCTGCACTATACTTTGTTGTATGTTTGGACATAGAGGTTCTCCACACACATCATCAAGAAGTGGTGGAGGTTCTGATCAGAATATTGGCTGACCACATCCAGATCCTTTGGATATAACTCATCATGGTCTTTTAACTCCTTTTTGGCCAGGTGCAGAAGAATTTGCTTTTTTGAAAAGAAAATTAAAAAGATATGCTTGGCTGAATACTTTTTTTACCATCTGAGAGAGCACAATTTCAGCTGTGCAGATCACTTTTCAGAATTAAAATCTGGTACAGGGTTCTCCTGTAATTTAGCAAAATATACTGTGAAATTTTAGACAGTAGTCACTTTTAGTTAACATTGTCGCAGATATCTGCACATGGACCTGAAAGTGATGACAGTTCCATCCAAACTTCCACAATACACTGAATTTCAGTTGAACCAGATGCCAGATTTGAATTTTAAAAGTAATACAGAAAAAGCATATATTAAGACAAGTATATCCCTTCTAATTCTGGATATACATGTATAATGCAATTTCCTTACAAATTCAGTCTAAAATTTCCAAATTTATTTTCATATACTGGACCACATGAAAAAAAAAAAAATGTTGATCATCATTAACAGGAAGGATTCTGTAATGCCAAAATTCTGAAAAAAGCTCTCAGCAAATCTTTGATTATATTATATGTTCCTTTTCCTGTTTCCTATTCTGACTATTCTATTTATTTTGATTTCTTGCACAGGAAGGTTTTTGGTAGAACTTGTTATTTCACTGTTGGCTATCTTCCCACCTTGACAGCAGCCTTGATAGCAATATTAATTGAACGAAAATCCAGGTATGATCACTTTTATTTCATAAACATAAGCAGACACGATACAGAGACCTAAAGACAGTGGCGTAGCAATAATTTCATTGAGGGGGAGGCCATCCGAGCGCCCTGGCGGCTCCTTGTAGAGGGAACCAGTTATTGTGGGGGAGGGGGGAACCCAAGTCAAACAATACACTTAACATGATTTCGGGGGTGAAAGTAGAATAATTTTTCCATTTTTTATGGTCCAAGGGGTGCGGGTCAAGGCCAAAAATTACCGCCTAAATACGCAACTGGCTATAGACACTATTTCTATCGTTTGTCAACATGTCTACAAGCCTTACAGTCATATTCCTCCAGCCAATTAAAACACTTCTATATACAGCTTGTTTTGTAAAAATATGAATAAAGACAAAACTCTTGAATTTTATATGAGTTAAACACATGCGCTTGAAAAGTGTTAATTTGATTGGTTGAAATTCACTGCGTCATACGAACCTACTTGGATAAATGGACAATGGATTATAGTTTTCATTACTGGTGCCGTGGAAAAACATATTAAAATAAGCTTACTAACACTTTTAGAATGAAATTTTAGTTTTTTTGCTCTAATAAACCATACAACAAGTAACTTATACTTGGTAGGAAGTTGGGTTTGTCATCTGCTAGGTGATTATTAGGTGTCATGGCATCAAATCCTATAGACCTTATTCACGCCTCGTTTTTTGAGATACTGAAAGCGAGGTTCATAACGCAAATTACACATCATATGAATGAAGTTTTGAATTATTGGAATTGTAGAAGGGTCGAAAAAGAAGTCAAGGTGGAGAGTTTATGCAGTGACCCAACGTACCTTTTTATTGTATGAGCCTCATTCTGGATTCAATATGGCCGACCCTTGAATAAGGTCTATTTTAAGACCAATTCTAATTCCACAGCCAGTTTCCTAGAGTGGCCCAGCATCATCTTTCAACTCCTAGTCATATCACTGTATTTGAGATTAATAATTCCATACAAAATATTACAAATACAACAGAATAACAACAGCTCTGATAAGACAACCATCTTGCAAACATTCAATGCTATTTTCAACAAGCATCACAGTATATGATATATGTAATGTATTTGTAGATCAGAAATAGAATGATTTCTATTGATGATGCTATTTCTAGTTCTATTATTCCTGGGTGGTACAATAACATATATTGATTTTCACAATATACATGCCAAGACTCCTATCCTGGCATAGATTGAGTTTTCCCTTGTCAGTGATGCAGGTAGGAGGGGCTGACATGGGAAAAAAGCATCTAGTTATTTGGAAAGGACAATAAACAGAAGCAGTGCATTCTAAAGATCCCTCTAATGAATTAAAAAAATAAGGCTATTCAATTTAAAAGGGAAACCGCATGCTGTTGGATTAGGAAACAGAGAAGAAGGGGAAAGTCCCTCACAGTAACAACATCAAAGGGGATTGATCTATAGCCGTCTGCAAACATGAAAAATGGCTAACTTAGCCATCCATTTCTCTTACAAAGGTGTTGAGTTCCAGTTTCCGGACAGACTTTTGGATTTGTTATGGATTTTGATTGTATTCGATATGGTCTGTTAGTGTATGCACACTCATGTAATCACAGCTGAATGGTCGATATCTATTAGTTCTCCATACACAATACATTTGAAACTAGGCCATTACAGTATTCATAATATACAAATGACACATATATTTTTTCATGACAATTAAAAATCACAATAACATTTAATAATGTAATTATGTTTTAGTTGATTATAATAGTGATACTTAAACCCTGCATTTAGGACCAGCAAATGGTTAAATTTAGACTGAAATTCGTTCGATTTTGACATGTGTCAACACTTGTTAAGGAAATATCTACTCAGTATATATCTATTGTAAAGTTACGGCTTCCTTTTGTATTGACACCTCTCAGATACTTCTACATATTTAATTATAACAATATAGATTAAAGTTGAAGTTTCCCACAAAAAATATATATGTTGACCTATCTTAGAAACTTATACTTACCATGTTATTATTGTTGGGCACCTCTTTTACTTACCAAATTAAAGTTGAAATCTCCCAAAATTATATTCTTATATTGACATCTCTCAGACACTTTTGATTATTTAATTACATCAGTATAGATTACAGTTAAAGTGTCCTTCATATACAATATATATTTAACCTCTGTCAGATACTTTTACTTACCAGATTAAAGTTGAAATCTCCCAGAATTATTCTTATATTGACATCTCTCAGACACTCTTAGTTATTTTATTATATCAATATAGATTAAATTTCGGAGAAGTTAGAGTCTCCCACAAAATATATTTATATTGACACCTCTCAGACATCTATTTAACAATATTAATTGAAGGGACAGTTGCGCCATTAGTCTCAGAAACAGGAATTTTTAACGAAAGGACAGTTGCGCCATTAGTCTCAGAAACAGGAATTTTTAGCTAAGCCAACCAGTATTAGTGCGAACAGCTCATGTCTAAATTAGGGCCTTCAAATCCATGTGTGTCCAGAATTACCTGTGCTTTAAAATAAAAAGACGAGTCATCTTTTCTTGAGACACATCCATATAAAAAGACATCTACAGAAAAAGGAAAAGAAATTCCTAGTTTGAGGTATTTTTGAAGGGATTATGCTACTTTCATACATTTCTATTTCTAAATCATCCGCCCAAAATTGTGCATTTGTCCCTCAGACACCTTTACTTCTGCATCACTAACTGTTCATCTAATTTGTCCTTTGTCTCAGCATTCTATTTCCCTCAGATCTGTATCTTTGCATAACTAATATAATGTTTCTAATGCTTCTTAGTTGCTTCATAAATAGTAATGTTTTGATTACTAACTGGTTTCAATTGGATAAATAACTTCTTATAGCATCTAATTTGTCCTTTATCTCAGCATATCTATTTCTCTCAGATCTGTATCTTTGCATAACTAACGCTTACCAAATAAGCTTATATTCTTTCTAATACTTCTTAGTTGCTTCATAAATAGTAATGTTTTGATTACTAACTGGTTTCAATTGGATAAATAACTTCTTATAGCATCTAATTTGTCCTTTGTCTCAGCATATCTATTTCTGTCAGATCCATATTTTTGCATAAGTAATGTTTTGTTGCTTCATAAATAGTAATTATTTTAATCAATAACTTTTTCAAATCAGATTTTTAAAAATTTTTGTTTAACATTATCAATAATTTAAAAAATATTTAATGCAAAAAGAAATCTATTTATCTCAGAAGCAAGTATGTATGTAATTTTCTCTTCAGTCCTCCGTACTCCTGTACTCTGTACCCAAATTCAATCTTATACTTCCGGTGTGATTTCAAACAGTAAATATTTTAACATGTTCAATCAGAATTACGTGCTATTTTTCAACTCCTGTCAATAAATCTGTCAACATGACAGAAAAGAATTTAACCTCTAATCTGTTATTACATATAGATTTTTATAACATTATTTCATTTGTCAACATGTTTGGGTTCAGTGTAAACAAGCATTATGTGACAATGTAGTTGACAAAAACTTGATATTTTATCCATTTTCAATCTACCTGATTTCCATTTTATGTTATATACTGTTAATCTAACAGGTAGTTGACAAACACGCTGCCCGAATCGTTGGCAAATAATCCCGCCATTTTGTTTGCTACTTTAACGTGATTTTTCATGTTTCTTTTTCAGGCGTGGATTGTTGGCTGTTTACACGTCAAATTTGGTGAGTTGTAGGTTTACTCTATATGGGAAGGAAATATGTGCTGTGATCACATTTTAAAATCTAGTGTTAAACGCAGCACACGTCTGCTATATTTGACAAGGTCGATACATGCCATGTATCCCATCATGCAGTGTTTTGGTTGTGACCTTGTAGACACCTGACATTTTTTAAGTGTCATGTTGGCTCAGACGGATTAATGTTGGTTTCTCCCACATATTGTATCTGAGATTAACAAATTATCCCTTTCTCTTGGGAACAAAATGCCTTTTCACTGTTAATAAAAACTACCAGTATACAGAAGTAAATATATTTGATGATGTAATTGATATTTAACATGTACTGCTTGCAAATATTTAACTTACCTGTTACCTTTCAATTTAAAGGAGGACTTTCTTCACTTCCAGTTTATAATCTGACACAATTTTTACAATGACATCTCAGATTGTAAAATTATACATTCTTGGTACTATTCTCAAAACGAAACAAACAAATTTTGTGTAATATTAACAGGCAAATGTTTTGAGAACAGTTCCAATTCTGACCCACCATGAAAAGTTGGTCTTGAATGGTTCTCGGCATGGACTTGATAAATTTGTGTTATTTTGACTTGTTAGAACGGTTTTCATTCACACTACCATCAACTGTAATGTAAATGGGTACAAATGGAATGGAACGCTTTATAGCCCTAGGGTTGATAAACCGAAGCAACCTAAGAGGAGCTCAGTGCCAAGTAACATCAAATTCTTTAAACTTTAAGCAATTGTAAATCAGGGAATACAACATTTTTTTTTCATATACACTCAATATTCAAATGTTTAAAGAATATCCAAATTGTACTGGTATATAAAATATGTTATCCCTTTAACTTAAAATGGAATTTAAAACTGACCAGGAAGGAAGGAAAAATAAACGAGGTCTTTATCTTTCTTCTGTGGAATTGAATATTTTTTTTTTTTACTAATTTTCATTTATCAATGACCGTGGTTAATGTCTTCTGCAATCTTCAAACTAAGAACTACTGCGAAGAGTAAATAAGAAAAAAGAACATAAAAGACATTGCAATCAATAATTGTCAAGCTAGAGAGTGATCTGTTTGCCAAGCATGGATTCCATCAGAATTGAAAGGAGAAAAACAGCAAATTGAATTTGTATTGAATTCCCTTTAAAGGTTTTACATGTTAATTACCTTAAACTTATAGCTAACAATATTTGTAGGATTAGAGAGTCGAGAGGGAGGGGAATGGAGTGTTTATGGGCTCACATTGGCCATGCAGTTTCACTTTCAAACTCAGTTTTGTAATTTTAGGCTTTTGGTTTTCCCTAAAAACTATGAATGTCTGCTTTCTTAAATGTTTCACCTCTATTCCAATTGTGAAGAAAAGACATTTTCCTAATCAAATCATTAGAGCACGTACAGGATTTTATACTGCTCTCTCACATTCAACTTTTTTCCTATTGTTAATTCCTCCATTTTGAAATAAAAGGCAAAATTCATCAAATCACTATTGAAAACTAAAAATTTTCAACCAGATAAAAGTATTAGAGACACCATTTGTGATTATCTCTGTCACTAGTTATGAATTTGAAGTGGTCGAATAAGAAAATTTCTTGAAAATAAAGTGTGAGGGGGTGTTGAAAATAAGGTGTAAGGGTGGGGGCGGGGTGATGGGATATTGAGAGGGAATGCATGTTTGGGAATGTATTTTGATACTGAGTGTCTGCTCCCAACTAACTTCATAAGTAAAATGTATATATTATGATCATATATTGTTCAAGGTTAAGACAGTTAAATAAAAAAAATGCCTTCATGTAGGTGGAGGATTGAGGTAAATTTATTTTTAGATATTTCATCTGGATCATGACCGTCTGCTCTGATCTTGTCTAATAATATGATCATCAATCATTCCAAGACCAGACATTGAGTATTAGTTGGATTTAAAACTTCTCATATGTGAATGGACATTTTCACAGAATTCATCATAACAATTGCATGTGGCCCACTCTTGGCTAATTCGAAACTTGATGATAAAAAAGACTGTTCAAAGGAGCAAAATTTCACTAAGAGAAAATCCTGTTTCAGATAGCTTAGGCTTTCTTTGGAACTTATAGATTTGTCCCTGGTGACTCAGAATACAAATTTAGCATTTTTTTAAAGGGATGGTAAAGAGGTTTTCGAAACTATTTATGTGTATCAGGGACTCAGATTTGCAATTTGCACGTATTCCATTTTTTTTTGCAATTTTACCAAAACTAAGCAATTTATGACATCATAGCTATCGCTTATAAGATATTATAAAAGCAGCTTCAGCAATATTAACGTCATATATGATTAAGTATTCCTATTATTACAGAAAACATGGACATTTCAATGATGCAAATAAAGCCAAATATTATATCCAAGAAACACTTTACAACTGTCTCTTAGTGGATGTTATTGAATATATTGTGTAAAGCAGGGTCTTGAACACGTCATTATTTGATCCAGAGTGTTGACCTTTTCTTCAACAAATTCTATCTATGGTGTAATTTAGATAACAATTTGAACGATTTGACTGGATAACTGACAGAGTATTTAACATTGATGTTATTTATATTGTATTTATCATCAGTTTAATGACATCTGGGGACCTATTTCCGCCCTCCTTCGCTGGGAATGTGCCTCTAATTAGTTTTGGTATTTTAAATGGCCGATTAAATTACTACTCTGACTTTTAAAATCTGTGTTTTTCACCATTGTATTATTGTTTATTTATTACATTGTCAATTTGGATTATTTTTAACCACTTTTGACCTTTTCGTTTGCGGAAAGTTTTGTCGTATTTAGGATATTTGTAATGACTCTATACCCACTGTGACAATATCAAATAATTACACCATTCTCTATAGTAACCAGTTTTTTTTTTTAAAATGACTTTAAAATGTTGGTAAAAATGTTGACATTTTCATTCTGTTACTTGTAGTTAAACTTCTGAAATTTTCATACAGGGTTACAGTTGTGCAGTTATCGCAATTTACATTATATGAAAGAAGCACAACATATAACATGCATTAACGTAAAGGACCACCTTCACTATCTGTTCAACCAATCATACCTTAGTTTCAGAAACAGGAATTTTATCCGCTTATATAATCAGTAATAGTGTTCACAAGTCAACGTCGAAATTTGAGCCTTCAAATCCATGTGTATCCATATTTTACCAAGACTATGTCTGCCATATATAGAAAAGACACATATAGAAATAGACAGTGAAATTTGAGGTATATTTGAAGGGATTATGCGATTTTCATGCGTTTTAGTACTTCTTAAGACTATTAAACTACAATAAAGACCCAAATCAATCCCCGAAAATGCAGACTGTTCCCCTTTAATACAGGGGTTTTCAACCTGGGGGTACTTTTGATATTTTTGGGGAGTAATGACGCGCTTGTACTCTAGTTTTGGACAGTTATAATTGTGGAGCTATTCAGTCAGGCTATATTCTCCAACATGAGCAAGATTGAAGGGAAAACCTAAGAGAAAATCAAAAAATAGTAAGGATTTATAGGGGGAAGGGGGTAATGCAATGGATGATAAGATCCTAAAAGGGATACTAGAAAGTAGACTAAACATTTCAAATGCTCATTCATTATCAAAGAGAAGAGCATTTTCTGCTGAAAGGAAATAAGTCAGGTAATGTGGATAAAAATAAACATATGTAGTAGTATGGTGAATGAGAAAGAATTTATGCCCCACACTGCATGGATGTTCATTGAATTGTTTGAAAATTTTGAATTTTAACGCCTGCAAGTTCTCAGATAGGAATCTAATTAGAAGTTCCATTTCTTTTCAAAATACATAGGAATGGCCTTAACCTTACTTTTACAATTAAACTTTTACAATTACACTTTTTGTAAACCACCTGTTTTGCTGATAAAAGTGTCAGCTCAAGAACAAGGTAGTTCTTTGTACTATACAGGAACACAAAAACAAAGAAAAACATTTAGTTCAGTTAGATACCTCAACCCTTAAATAAATACTTTTGTAATGTATGAATCCAACAGTGATATTATTTTTTCTTGGAGGACTTGAGTTTCTGATATACAGAGACATGAGTTTCTGATATACAGAGATATGAGTTTCTGATATACAGAGACATGAGTTTCTGATATACAGAGGAATGATTTTATCATATACAGAAGCCTGAGTTTCTAGAGTAAATTTACCTTGAGTTGCTGATATACAGAGGCTTCAGTTTCTGATATACAGAGGCATGAGTTTCTGATATACAGAGGCTTGAGTTTCTGATATACAGAGACATGAGTTTCTGATATACAGAGGCCCGCATTTCTGATATACAGAGGCTTGACTTTCTGATATACAGAGGCATGAGTTTCTGATATACAGAGGCATGAGTTTCTGATATACAGAGGCTTGAGTTTCTAGAGTAACTTTACCTTGAGTTTCTGATGAACAGAGGCTTGAGTTTCTGATATACAGAAGCCTGAGTTTCTAGAGTAACTTTACCTTGAGTTTCTGATGAACAGAGGCTTGAGTTTCTGCCTGAGTTTCTAGAGTAACTTTACCTTGAGTTTCTGATATACAAAGGCTTGAGTTTCTGATATACAGATACCATACAGTTTCTACAGAAAGCTCATAAATAAGCTAAATAATTTAAGCAGGGACAAGATTTTGAAAAAGTTTTTTAAGGTTGGAAAAGAAAAAGGTTATTGACTGACATTGTTGTTAGTGTGTTCACAAGTTGTTTGTTTTTCTTGTCTTTCTTGCAGACCTGTTCTCATTCTTTTAACATTTTTTGTTTATTTGTCAACTAAAGTAAACAACCACAAACATTTTTCATCCTGTTTCCATTGATGGATGAATTTCAAATTTACTCAAGGCCACTCTGACTACAATCATCTAGTGTAACAGGCATCTTCTTTGTATTCCAATCTTCACAATGTCAAGATATTACAAACTTCGTTCTTATACCTTGACTACAATAGCCACCTTTCTTGTATCACTGAAGTTTGTAAATGCGGTGATTTGATTGTATCGTCAATAGCAGATACAGCCAATCAGAAAGCCTGTAAACATTAAGCTGTATTATTTACAGTCTCTTTTTTAAGGGCTCTGATTGCTTGTATTCGCTAATGTACAATCCAATAAAATATCTTTTACTCACAATTCTGTGCCTATAACAGTCAAGGTATAAGACAGAGTTCATAATAGCTTGACATTGTGAAGATGCTTCTTTATATTCCCTTCTCTAGTTTTTGTGGTATGTTTTTTAGGGTTAACCTGTAGTGTTGACAAACGTGACCTCAGTCTGTATGTAGAGGAGAACACTAAAGAACGACAGATCAAACAACTCGTTGCTGCTATCTTAAGTTGTGACAAGCGTGAGGGGGTCAAAGAAAAAGGCGTAAGACTGGATATTGTCAACTAAGTGTTGTGTCATTACAAGTTATGTCAATTTACTTGTAGATTTCAAAACAGTCTAAATTTGACCTGAGAGATATACTTAATACTTGTTTAAATATGATCAAGATTTGGTTTAGAATTTTACCTATTTGCTTATTCAATTCAGTTATTATTTCAATTCTGACGATATAAATTACCATCCATGTCTGACTTATTAACATATAACAGTGCAATCAAATCAATATTATATTTAGAATGATACTTATTAATTCAGTTATTATTTCAATTCTTTAATACATTACCATCCATGTCTGACTTAAATAGAACTGTGTCTGACTTATTCTAGAGATGCTTAATTCACTTGTAATTTCAATTTTTACAGACATTTTACCAGCTATGTCTGACTTGAACTCAAAATGTTCAGCTGTCCATTTTTTTTAATAAAATATGCTGAAGTGAGTTGATCCATATAACCTAGAACATTATTAATAACCAAATTCAAGTGACAAACTTTTCCCCTGTGGAAAAGCCATGATTTAAAGGTCTTTGATTATATAGCCATGAATGCATATTTTTGATTTTGCCAGTTTTTTGGGGTTAAAATTTTCTCATCCAGAATCAATTTTTAACATAATTATTTTTGAAATGATTAGATTAAAAAATTGAAATATAAACTTCATCATAAAGATTATCCTAATCCAAATTTTACTTAAAAACTATAAATTGAGTTTTTGTTTATCTACTTTTACTAAGAATATATTATCAAGAAATATATTGGCGACCTACTGTAGTTTTAAACCATGTTTTCTTGGCTTCACTGCAGATTATATATAAAGTACTAGAACAGATAGACTGTTGAATGACAGATGATAAAAGATAGGGCTACTGATGGAGAAAACAACTGTTTTCAAAATACTTCACATTCAATTACTTACACAGAAAATTGATAAGGCACTCAGAGACGCCCAGTTCTTCATCGCTTTTCACCTTTTTCTGCATAGCTAGTTAGAATGATTGACAGCGAGTCTTGGCAGATGGTGTAATCAACATTTTCTATTTGAGGTTCTAACAGTGGGAGGTAGGATCTTCGAACATGCACTAACCTTTGCTACGAATGTCAATAAAAAAAATCACTACTACTCCATAAATCTCTTTAAGACATGAACAAGCAATTTACTTCTCATCGTAAAAAAAAACAAGCACAATTTAGGTGGCAAATTCTTGCAGCTAATTAAATTGAAATTTTTGATTCCTGTGTAAATATTCCTGGTAATCGGATGCCTGGAGATCATTTACTCTTGGACAACTGTTCCAATAAACATGTTCTTTTTATACCTCAATTAACGTATTTTTGTTAATGTTGGTTAATTGAAATGTTTAGATAAATGAAATCGAATCCTGGTTTTTAATTGGTTAAATGACATACACGCTGTCCTTGTCAGTTACATAATTACATAATTTTTTTAGTTTTTCGTATTATTGAGTCATATGAAAACCATTATAATTTCTGTTGATTTTCTGTGTCATATTTCATAAACCTGTTGCGAACAACATTTCATAACTTTGTGTTAAATATACCAAATAAACAGCAATAGCTATGACAAACCCAGGCATTGAGAAATTTCAGGTATTCTGAAAGAACAATTGTTTAAAACAAAATATCTCGAAAATTCAGGCCCCTTATCAATTCAAATTTCAGGATAATTTATAAGGTGAACTCCATTAACCTTCAGTTTCATTCCAAGAAAAAAATCTGTCATTAATTTTGAACAATTTTATTTCATTTGAATGAATTAATTGTCTATTTTGGATGGCTAACCTTTTTGGGAATTGAAAGAAATTTTGTCATCCAGACAGATTCACAACCATAACCTTTCCAGAATCACAGACAAATATCATCTTGTCTCTTAAGGATAATGGCAGAGCATGCAGGCTAACGCCACTTGTTTTCCTGACATTTCCATTCCATCTGCTAATTCTGTTCTTGGAAGTAATATCAGATGGGGGCAAACTTATTGTCCTTTTAAACATCAGTAAGAAAGTCTTCTGGCACCACATTAATTATTTTAGGGTTCAGTAACATAACTGGAGGGATAGAATATAAGTCTTAGGATCACTTTGTTTCTATACCAAATTGTGTCACTGAATGATTTTTTTTTGGTGGGAGGGGGAGAATTTTTCTCCATTGCAAAGAACAATAGGCTTCCACCAGTGGCTGTACCAGCCTCCCAAAACTGGGGGTACAGATAGGGGCAGACTGACTTAGTAACCCGCGTTTCTACTGAGAAATGTAAGGTAAAGCTAGCTCTATGCTTGCTCAGAGTCAGCTTTATTGCCGAACATGTTGCTTTACAACTGCTTTTGACTGTTTCCCAAAAGACTTTAGCCTCGATCAGTTTCATATTATTGACAACTCATGATGTACAAGACTACTGTTTGGACCAGTAAGAAATGCAAGACTTGAAAGACCAGTACGCCCCCTATTGCCGAACGAGATAAAGCTGACTTTTTGCGTTTCCTCTGGTTTAGTGAAAGCCAGGTTTAAGCTAGCTTTCAGTTGGCCCCCCAAAAAGAGAGGTTTTCGGTTCGGCAATTTGCCCAGTTGAAACACACAAAAGCTAGCTTTGATCTGTATAAGCTTTAAATACAAATTAATGTACATGTAGGCCTAGACTATAGACTTGAACGTTTGTTGTTGTTTATGCTATGATAATATAATAAGTATATGACGTGAATAATTACTGCTATTAAAATAGATGAAGCATTTTATAATACAGATAAACTAGGTGTTAATTATAGCAACCTTCTAACCTTCCAACACATTACATATACTTTACAGTTCTACATCACGGCATTTTATTTGTAAAGGGAGATAAATCTAGATAAGTAATTTCTTAAGTACTTCAAGTGTTGATAAAATTTTAATTTCACATTTCTTTAGAGCAGATATTTAATTCAAAGTTTTGTCATATCAAATTTTCAAAACAGAAAATGAAGAATTATTTTCAACAACAGTCTAATGGAGATATTACTAATATTTACTATATTCATCCTAATTGAAGCCCCTCTAATAAACACCCCCTCTCCTCTATTTTTAAACCCATGCCTCCATAAAACTGATCAAAGAAACAGATGCAGATCCAGAAACTTACATTGTTTTCTTGATAGAGACCAAATACTTTGTAGCCAATTATAGAAATCAATTATAAAATGCAAATCATATATGCCTATCACTATCTTGGTGCATGTGTTATAATATAGTCTGTATCAGATAGCCTGGATTTGTGGCAATTGAAAAGTTCTGTAACAAAATTAACACCCCCCATCTGAAAAAGTGCAGTGCCCCATGGGCTTCATTTAAAATGAATACAGTATATCAAATCTCACGTCCTGCGCCAATGGTTCCTGTGATTCCAGAATATCTTGATCAGAATGATGATATCTTGATTGTAATCAAACATTCCAGTCCAATAGGATTAGTCCAGTTGCCATATTCCGTTTGAATGTCAACTTTCCATTTTGAAAGAATAATAATTGTAGTTTTGACTTGAGTCAACATTTAGAAGACTATATTTTCTATTTCAGGCAATAGAGACATTATACAATATATTTTTATCTAGAGGTTATATACATCCAATACCTAATGGAGAGGTAAGTGATATTTTATTTATTTTCATACCGTACATAACTTAAAGAAATTTACATACATAATCTGAAAAAGGGAAACGTACATAACGTAAAGAAAAGTACATACACAAAAAAAAACACTATTTCAATTCAAGACTACAGAGGTGAGGTGCTCTTCGTCTCAGACAAATTTGCCCTCATCCGGGTTATTAGGAAGTCTATAATTAACTCTTTCGTGAAGAGTTCCATTAAAATATGTCTGAGAACATTAGATCGTTTACACTCTTGTTATAGAATTGTTTTCAGAACGCTGGAAGTTGTAAAAGTGTAAAAATTTGGTGATTTTGGTTTCATAGCGTCCTTAAGTGTAAACAGGGCATTTGTACTCAATATACATAAAACATCTTTACAATTCCTTAAAGGTTGGATTGGGCCTATTTTGTATCCAGTTCTTGATGTAGAAAGGATAAAAGTTGATATACTTTCTCAAATTGCAAGCTCATTAGCTGCTGTCAATGTTTTACCAATATGTTTTTTTGGGGGGATTTCGGGTTTCGTTTTGTGGTTTGGATCATTAGTGCTTGGTTTTTTTATTTTGCGTGTAAGCATATTTAAAATATGCTTATTTAAAATATACTTAATGCTCAAATTGTCCATATCATCTCATATACCACATTTCATTCAATTCCTGGCATTTTTTGAAAATCGTTTACTCAATGACCTTGAACCATGAAACCCTCTCTAAATTATTTTAAAACTTATTTTTACATTATCTTATATGAATTAATATAAAACTAAATTTCAGCACTTTGTCAGATTAATTTCTGACTTGTTCTATAGACTGAAACAATGATTTTACTGGATGAACTTGGCTTGATAACCATCATAGAATCCCCCCTCTGGAATTGTGGTATTTTCTAATTTTAAAATGTTTTTTGTATGAAAATCTGTCCAATTTAAAGAGAATGTAAAATTTTTATGTGTATAGGGGACACTTATAGCATCATGGACACCTTTCAAATTTCATTCAGTATTCTTTGATTTCATTAATACTTCTAAATCTAAGTGTTTGATGACGTCACTAATCGAGAAGTCCTTATACAGCATATATTGCGATCAGTGACATCTTCAAACAGTTCCAATCTATTTGGATTTGATTATCTAATTAATGATTATGTCCTAATCAAATCATATTTGAGAGTTGAAACGGATTAGAAAATCGATTAGCCTAATCGACCAACTCTACTTTGGAGGTGGTTTGATGCGATCAGAAAAAGAGTTTGTGCGTCCGTTTTAGCCATTGAACTCAAGCGTTAACATCAAAACCAAATCCATCAAACCACCTCCCAAGTAGGGTTGGTCGTTTAGGCTAATCGATTTGAATTAGAATTAAAACAAACACGTCGATTAGCATAATCTGATTTGATTAGGCTGTGAAACAAATTCGTATCGGGCCTAATCAATTCTGATTGGGATGAATAAAATACGCTTCTAGTTTTAGTTGAATTGCTAAATGTTGCAAAGTGTCGGTAGCTTGAGGTGAGCTTTAGTCAATTAATCAGCAGTAAAAATTTAGTCTTTAATAATTCAGTTTTTAATGGAATCACATTTAGTCATCAACTCCAAACTAAGGCTCTTGAAATAGTAAAGCAATTGGTCACAGATAAAATGGTGGAATATAGCAGAAGATACTATCCATATCCCAAGATCTCTTTGATCTTTCGTAGCGTGAATAATAAATTCATAATATGATATACATAGATGATATTTATATTCTCAGTGCTTTTTAAAAATTAATAATGCATTATTTATGGAAGCATTATTAATGACAAAATTACTCAAAGTGTTTACGACAAGAATCTCTCGCTTTAGCCTTCTGCTGTTCGTTAAAGTAGAGATTGTCATTTGGTTGGTAGGTTATAAAGTGTTGAAAGCATACGATGCCTCTTGAAAGCACTGGCCGTGGCATGACTTTATCTTTGCTTGAAGAGGATATGAACCAACTGAATTCAACTGGCTACTGTTCCAAATTAGCATCAGAGGGAAATATTAACAAAGACACTGGTCTTTGTCATTTTTTTCAATCTTGAATGATCTAGAAAAACTATTTGACTCATTTCATGTCTACCTCATTGATTTTGTCAGCTTTCAGACTTTGACTTTTGGTTCTTGGACAGAAACAATATAGGCTAGGTACCCCTGCTGGTTTGTCAAAATTTCACTCATTATACACTGCATGGTGTGTTCCTTCTACATTTCTCCATTAAAAAATTTTCATGTCATTTCCTGAAGGATTGTTCTTTTAAACAAATATTTCTCCTTATTGGAGGTCAGTTTTAAAAGGTTTTTGACAGATTATTAATTAACATTAATGATAAATGATACTCGTTAAGATAAATATTGATCCAGCACTTCGGTGCTAGTTTTACTGCAGAATTTCTCCAGGAATTGGCTAGCAGCTCTTAAACTAATATTCATGACAAGAGTTTTTAAACAGCTCTGATGATTTATTGCCAGTGAAAAATGAGTGTCTGAAGACGGAAATCTTCTTATCCCAACATCTTCGCCGTTTCAGGATAATTTTCATACACAGTTCCAACCATAGTTCCATTATGGTACCATTCATAATGGATTTAAAATTCAAATTGATATAGGTTAAAGTTTAAACAAGGACAAGCTAAACCTTTTTATTATATCTTATTAATGATTTTTACTAAAAGTTGTTTTCAAGTGATTAATTCATACCGTCTGTAAATCCCCAATTCTTATTTTTCTACTTGCAAAAATGAAATGCAAAATAATTTTGGCAACAAAACCCCCTCGGCCTTTTTCAGACTTGGATAATCTGGTACATAGTAGGCTCATAAGACAACCAAAAACTGAAGGCATAGTAAAATTACCAAACAATTTAATGTAATGAAGTTACAGATTGTATAAGATTTGGACATCCAGTCCCATATATATGATAATCTAGCGATAGTAGATCGATCTTATGATGGACTTCTATGCTTTCACTGACAAAAGTGTGAGCACAGTGAGTGCATGTTCTCCAACCTGATATCAATTCATGCTAAATTAAAGGGATTTGAAAGAGGTTTTCTAATTTTTTATGTGTATCGTGGACACTGAAAGCATCAATTTGCGTGATTCCAATTTTCAATCAAACATCTGGTGCAAAATGATGCTATCAGTGTCCCCGATAGACATAACAAAATTAGAAAACTTCTTTAAAATCCTTTTAATTTATCACAAAATTTTCTGATTAAAGTCAATCTAGAAACTTTGATACAGGGAAGATGGCTAATGGTACTGGCTCTCATTTTTTATCTGTAATTTACAGCTGAATCCTTTCCCCTTACCATTTATTCACTAGGCTAGTATCAGACACTCTGATTCTACGGTGCCACGTAAAACCTATTAATACTGATTGAGTCAGTCAATTTATTGTCTTATGATAACTTTTTTGACATGTGTATGGGAGAAACAAGTCAGCCATTGCACAAGATATAACATTGCAGTTAATGTTGATAACTTCATAGTTTTATAGATCTTGGCACCAGAACTCGGCTAGCTATCATGATTTATGATAAACTGTACTAGACAAGGCCGAGATAAATACTTGAAATGTTCTGAGATATTATTTTAATTTTTGACAGAGCTAAAATATGTATTAGGAATTCAAAAAACAGGGTTTGAATCAAATACGAGACATTGCAAGAAATAAAAGTCTGTACCAAACAAAAAAAAATTCTAGTAACTGAAAATTTCTAGTCCAAAGCATGCCAAAATTGGGAGCAATAAAATTAGTAGTAGTGGACTCCTCAAACGAGAAGTACCATCAGGTGTTTCGAACAGAAATAAACTTGAATGATGTAGATGCAAAATGTACATGTAGTTGAAGATGTTTTCTTTCGTGTGTTATATTTCTGCTGGTTTTTGAACTTGCCATTTGTGATCTGATGATTTTCCTATGTAAATCATGTTCAGTTATATAGTGACGTTATATTCATGTTCTTAAAAACTGTTCCAAAATCCGTAAAAAAAATTAATTTTTGAAAAAAACATATCCAAGTGATCAAAATGTTAACATTATGTCAACATTATGTCCAATTAGAAAGTCATGTTTGATTATTGCTTTTAGTCATTGCAAATTTATTCCACACAGAAGCAAGGGATCATTTCTCAGAAAGGCCCAAAGATAAATTTTGAGTGTATTTTAGGGACATTTTGATCACTAGGTTATGTTTTTTTCAAAAAATGAGCTTTTTCCAGACTTTCTAACATGTTTAAATCAATATTTTTTGATTGAAGCATCTGCTGAAATTTCATGAAAAGATTAAAGAAGCACCCCTTTTTAAATCAAAGACAAAAATACTAGCAATTGCAGGAATTCCCACTTATACATGAAAAACTAAGATAAGAACTAAGATGAAAGTGTGAATGGAAACAGGTGGTAGGTTCATGTAAGAATTTCTTGATTGTTCTAAATACAATCTTTATCTTTAAAAAGTTTATTATTTTATCATTTCTCTATGTTTTTATCTATTGTGTTATCTTTAACAATAGTTACTCATACATTTTCCAAAATTTTTACTGATATCATTTGTGTTTTGAGTGAAGACATTATATAACATTCTCCCATATTTTCAATTGGATGTAGGCCCCTACTGGTCTTTTGGTCTTGAGGAACACATTTTTCAGCTATCCTGATGAGGTTTTTGTATCTTTAACACATGTAAGCAGAAAAAGGAGATCTGTTGACAATTAGATTTGAGTCAAGTTTTGAAATGGCTTATGAAGTGAAACTACTTTTTCTGTCGTAGTTGGGTTAAATAAAGATGCAATGGACATGCATTGTGCAATGAGGGAAAATTTGCCTCAAAAGGGATATAAGCCTACGCTTTTTGAATTACCAACTGTCACTGGGACTGTCACACATTGGCTCAGACAGTTTTTTCATTTAAGCCTCTTCATTATGTATCACTGACAGAGGTCATCTTGGTTTCAAAATTTGAAGGTATATCTCGACCTATGCTGGGATTGAATCCTAATTTAAGTTAATAAGCATGCATTCTAATTGTTAACCCACCTTGGCTAATATTGTTTAAGGGACAGATTTGCCATTTTTGGAGTTTGATTTGGTTATTAGATATATGTAAATAGTCTTCAGAAGTACTAGAAATGTTCAAACATATTTGGAATTTCACTTTCTATTTTTATAGATGTCTTTTCTATATAATATGGCAGAGTCTCTAGAAATGACAAGTCGTTATTTTAACTTTCAAACGAGGATAATTCTAGATACACATGGATTTGAAGTCTGAAATTGCGATGGTGAGCTGTGATCACTATTACTGAATAGCTTAGCAAAAAAGTTCCTGTTTCTGAGACTAAGGTACGATTGATAAAAAAAAAAAGAAAAAAGGCAAACCTGTCCCTTTAAATTAAGTCACATTTCCACAGCATTGCATTTTAATTTTGTATGCATTTCACATTATAGTTATATTTCAGACAATAAAAATGTGCTCACCATATTTTACCGTTACTTCATTATATAAAGATATCAGCTTAAAGTAGTGTGCACAATCGCGATGTTTTTTTTTTAAAATTTGAATTATGCATGTAATATGCAGGTGCAGTGAGAACAGCTTTTAATTTTATTTAAATTTCTGAATAACAATTTCTTAATTTCTGATAATTTTTACCCAAAAAAACTAATTTGTATTCCATGTGGTATAAGAAATTGGTGGAATAAATGCATATTATATTGATTGACATTTTTACGTCTTATTCAAGGTTTTATTTATGATACATGAATGTTGGCATCTGACTTCTTTATATGTACCAGGGAGAAAAATATAATTTGGCATTTTAATATTTATAGATTTGAATGTCAGTTTTTTTGTATTTTATATAAATTGATTGCGTGCAACTAGGATAGATGACTTTTTAAAAATTTCCATAGTAATATTAAATTAAAATGTACTTTAAGAGATTCATATCCACAAGTTTCAAAACGTTATTAGTGACCACATATGAATAGGCAAAAATGGAGATTCCTTTCGAAACAATATGTTCAGCCAGTTTCTGTAATACATGTCTTTGCAAAAAGAAGTCATCTTCAACTTGGTCATCAAAGCTTATGAATGTTGTTGAAGACAGATGAACCTTTTTGAATTTGGGTCTGGATATTTGCCTTTATAGATTCAGAGATACCAATGTTATTAGTTAAAGCGTTTCCACTGAGAGAAAAAACCGGCTTTAAGGTAGTTTTAAGCTAGTTTTTGTGTGTTTCCACTGGGCATATTGCCGAACAGTTACGGTTTGGGAAACGATTAAAACCCGTCTTTTTGCGTTCGGCAATTTATCGGGGGCTGGAAAACTTGAGGCAATTGGAAAAAAAACTAGCTCGCAAATTTTGAATAATTTTCTAAACCCCTTAATCACAATGTAATTCCAGTTCAAAATGGCATGCACAATTTTTTTTAGCTGCCTATCATCCCAATAGATTGCAGAATGAAACAGTTCCACAATCATGGAAGTGCAATTTTATCTTTGTAGAAAATTCTTCAAAATGAAGACAATGTGTGCTAGAAGTGAAATTAGAGGATTTGGTTCTTTGAGGTTATCATAATATGATTCAACTCAGATGCAACTGTAATAATAATATGTTTTCCAGAACTGAATTAACTTATCATAATATGACATTTAGAACATTTTCATGTTTTTTTCTTATAACTTGCTGATATTAGGCATGGAAATGTCAAGAAATAGAGAAAAAGGGGTGTACAGGTGTAATAATAATTGGGTTAACAATATTTAGAAAGGTGTATTTGAAATATTTGTAGAGACTACAATAGTATGTTTCACTTGTTTTTAAGTTTTTTATCTAAAATGAAAATATACTCAATCAATAACAGATGTGTTTTGGTTCAGTTTTATAATGTAGAGCAATGTAGTTTTAGAGAAAATGACAGAAGTAGAAATTCAAGGTTCAAATTGGAGTCGACTAATTTCATGCAGTTTTCACTGACATTTTTCAAAAAACAAGATTAAGTATGTCCATCTTTCACTGAAGGATATCATATTTCCATATTATTTGTGCAAATGCAGCTTGCTGGGTTACTGGAATAACGACCCTAACCTAGATTAAAACCCTCAACCACTATTTTTTGACAGTCAAATGTTCTGTTGTGTAAGCTATACAGCTACATCATTAACTATGTAGACTCTCCAGATGTCCATTTGACAAACCCATTTTTAGAGTGTAGAGTGTTCTGTAAGGAAAAACTACCATGCCTTGACAGCAAATTTTAGGGAATCCCAGCTTCAATAAAGTCTTTGGACTTACAGATTTAAGATTTTGTAAAATAAAGGAAGTAACGGGAATAACTATATGACAAGTGCTATGACCTGTAGAATAATGGTATATCCTGGTGATAATGTCCACCTATTAGAAATCATATTGTTCTGAGGACTGTCTTCCAGATGTTAGGTCTTAGTATGTTTGGCTCTTGTGAACTTCAGTGCCTTTTTAATGGTTGCCGGCCTGTTAAAAACTCTTCCATTCTTATGGTTGGAAAAATCATACAGAACAGAACAATTTTGATATTGATCTAAACACTTTTTTCATTGTTGGCCTTCTCCAAAACTGCATTGAAAAATCTAAAAAGTATATAAAAATTTGTGAGAATGGCACACTGGAATTCCAGGACAGTCAGCAAGCATCTTCATCCATAAGCAACTGAAGTACCTCTGGCATATTTTTTTCCAACCAAAAACGAGAAAATATACAATTTGAAATGATCCACGATTCAGAATATCTGATTATTTAAAATAGAAATTGATAATGATTACTTTCTGATGATAGAAAATATAAACACTCTGAAATATCATTAACATTAGTTTATCATCAGTCTTTAATTTAAAAGAACTACAACTCTTTGATTTTAACCCTAGTAATGGCGGGGTGGTGACCCCTTTCATATTAATGTGACACCTTCTTGTAAAGAATTTTCTTTTTCATTCATGATTTCTTTCATGGTGGTCTACAGTTTAATAGTAAAAGAAATGCGTGTTAAAGTATTGTATTCCATTGAGCTGACCTGAAAGTTGATGCTTTGGGAGAATTAAATAGATTTTTTATTCCGTTTGAGTTGACTACTTTGGGTTTTGAGTGCATAAGGAGTGCTCATTGACATAAAACAGTTTAATGTCCCATTTCTCTGCACCTGATTGTGCTATTAAAGATGGACAATGCCATGTAGTGTGCAATGAAGCAAATTTTGCCAGAACAGTTGACTATTTGCATCTAGTGTTCTGAAGTGTTGGCATATTTCCTCTTGTTAGCAATTACACATGCTCACTAGACTCATTGTAAAAAAAAAGGAATGAATGGAGTTTTACATCTTACTTTTCTGCACAATGTAGGCTAATGAAGACGGGCAACGCCATGCAGGGTACAATGAGGGAAATTTTGCCAAGACAGCGGCATCAGCCTGTTCTTTTTCGATTTCCATCTGTCGAGTGATCTTTAATGTGCACAGCCTGTAGCACATGGGACCTCGGTTTATTGTCCGATCCAAACGACTTTTTCCATGTCAACCACTCTTCAGACTCATTGTGGAGCATCCCAATTTCAAGTCTGTAAACATGGACTCAAAAGTTTAAGCTACCTTACTTTAATATCAGTAAACATAATTTTGGTAGTTTTGTTCAAGACACACAAAAGGAAATGGTAGTCAAGGCCATTTTGTTTTATGAAGATAACAGAATTATTTTTATCCAACCATCTTGAATTAATCAAACCATCAGACTCAAAACAAATTCCATATTTTACTTTCTTATCACCATCTTATTTCATTTCTGTTGAAATATCGAATAAACATAACTCCACTTTTTATGCCTTTTCAAATTTTTGATAAATAACTTTTGGTGTGATCTCTAGCTTAGGAGATAAAAACAGTCTGAAAGTTTGAAATTTTTTTCTAATAAATACATGGAATTATGGGATGTGGTGTCAAGAGTTGGAGATTATCAATAGTATTTGCAGACGTCGTTTTTCTTTCCTCTCTACAGAAATTGATAAGGGAAAGTAGATTTATAGAGGTTTAGAGAAGGAAATCCAGGGTGGTCTGGACTCTAACACAGGTTGTTTCTTCGTCCAACTTAATTGAGTAAACCAACAGGCCAAAACCATCGGCACCACTGTAAAGATTTACGAGCTGATTTTTTCTGCCCACAGAAATTGACATTTTAATATCATACACATGTTAGAACTCAAGATAATGAGTGACAATCTCCCCGCTGAATTCTGTGCAGCAAGTCAACTACCCATTGCTTTTAGCTCGAGAATTTCTTAATGGATTTTAACTGAACACATGCCACTTAATGACCGTTTATCATTTCTATGTATGTCAAAAATGAATAATAATAATAAAGTATGGTTTATATTTATTCCTGCCTGATAATGTGGTTTTTTTTTCACTGACACCTACTCAGAGTTCATTTTTCAGAGTTTCCCATTTCCTGATTCATTTCATTTTTTCTGAGTGCATTTAGGGTTTAGTGTAATTGAAAGGTCAAAGTGCAATGCAGGATTGTTGATTCAGCTGTAATTTCCTGGTCTTGTCTGGTTGTAATTTGTGACCTTATTTTTTCAGCATTGTCAATAATTGATTTCTACGAATTTTAGTCCTTGAAATTTTAATTTGTTGGGTTACCTTAAAAAGGTTAAAGGTGAAAGTTTATGGAAATTTGCACAAATTTTTTAAGGAAAAAAACTCTTGTGTGTATTTCTAGAAACCTATTCAAATGAAATTCAAAACAGGACTAATAAAATGAAATTGATAATTTTAAAAGTTGTAACTTTTTGAAATGGATCATCTTTATATTAGCTTACTTTTATATAAACTCTAGAATCCATCCATCAGCAGGGAATAAACCTGTCACATGAGGATTTTACTTATTGATGTATGCTTTTTGTAAGGCAAAGGTCACAGGGTTGAATTTTAATTCATCTAATTTGATCATTAAATTATCCTTCAATTAAAAGATTTCTAAGAAAATAAAGAATTTTGTCACCTGTGCATGAGGTAAAATTTCTTTAACAAATTTATTTATTTTAGTGCAATTGGAAAAATTACATGTTTAAAATCCTAATATGACAAAGTTTTGTACCAGCCTCTAGATCTTATTCAGATTAATAAATAGAGGATATTTCACAATGAAAATTGAATTAACATAATCATCAGTAGCACATAAGTGTTAAAGTAGCCATTACAGATAGATTTGATGTTGATAATATTAAAGTATTATGGTCATC